GGATAGATAGGATATACTTCAGCAGCCGCAGTTTTAATAGCTGCTACGATTTTCTCATACAACCCACACATCATAAATCATCATATACATATTTTTATTTCCGTTTTGGTTGGTTAGCAAGATAAGTGACTTGCACGGATCTGCGTCCTTTAAAGTCATGTCATATGATTTAAGGAACGGCCGGCGGTCGACTTTATGAAAGCGTCGATATCCGGGTTCCGGAATGCTATTTTTAATCCCGTGATATATCGACTGCATGCAACCTGGTTCAAGTTAATCGTGAAATATTATTACGTCACGGTAAGCGCACATCGTCGTTAAATAATGTCGAATGAAAGAAAAAACAAATTATAAAGCAGGAAAAAACTTGCCGCATCTATGAGCAAAAAGAACCTTCGCGAAATTGTTGATTACGTCCGACAGAATTAGAAGATATCATCATTAAGACATTAATCTTTCACAAGATCCCTCTCTTATTGTGGTTATCGATTTATCGAATGACACACACAAGAGGGGTTGAAATTAATGTTTGAAGGCGGAAGAGGATCCATTACGACGACCAAATCCATGGCTTCAATTCAACCACGACGATCGTCAAGACAAAGGACCCATGTCCCTCAAAGACGCCAAGTCAGATATCCCGTTGGGTTTCCTTCTCTCCGCATCTGCGTTCGATGTTAAACCACATTTCATACTAATCACGCTAGTTTACAACACCACATATTTCATATTTCCCTTATACGTAATCTCATTGTGCGTTTCGGGAAAATTACAGTGAGAATATGAGTGAATGCTTTCGGTTCTTATCCGATATACAGATATCTTATAATAATTTAGAAAATTGTTCTATTAGAATATTTTGTATAAGTACACTCCAGTGATTGTAAATATAAATGTATATATAAATATTTATTTAAAATTTCTATTAGAATTTTAAAGAATGCAGAAATACATATAAGGCAAGATAATTTTCGTATTAAAGAGATTGTCGATAACATCTTAGAAATCATGTATTTTATATTTATTCTCTCTTTGTCCCGACTATTATTTTGCTTTATATATATATACATATATAATATATATCTGCATTTTTTAAAATAAATTTCTAAAGACATTATCATATATCTTTACATATATAATCTTTTATAAAGATCAGTAATGCAACCTTTCAATTACAATTTCAAAATGTGAATTGAATAGTATATTAACTCTATTCAAATGCAAATCTGATCGTTTATTTAAAGATTGATCGACTAAAGTGACTGTACGCAAACAAAGCAAATAATAATCGTTTTACTCTCAAATTTATTTTCTGGTCGAGACATTTCTTCATGCACATCTCATGGACTTATTCAGTCTTCTTCCCAATTCAAGTTTTATCTCGGCACGAAATGGCTTTTCCGATCCAATAAAGTGCGCCGCGTTAATTATCGGAATTTCGAAAGGTAATTCATTAATATTGCTCTCTAGCGATGGTGTGCGAATCGATACCGCTGCCGCAAGAAAGAAAATGAAGAGAGAGAGAGAGAGAGAGAGAGGGAGGGCGGGGGGGAAGAGAGATTCCTCTCCTATAAAAAATCAACAACTAGATAATGATAATCGACTCTTTCATGTTTATCTTGGAACCTTTCGCAACATATTATCGTGCATTTCCGATGTCAGCGTTGCATTGACCATGGACAGGAAAAAATGCTCTCAGACATTGATAGCGCAGTGCAGCTTCGCAGAGAACGTCGGTACTCGCTCGGCAGCTTTATCAAAATTACTTCGCGGCGTTCGACTTTTCGTCGTCATCAATCTTTCCCGGTTTGACTGCTAACGCGATAATGCAGTTACGCCATGCATCAGGATGGGGCGGATATACAGACCCGGTCAGCCTGTCAAATTCGTCATAAATAATTGAATTAAAAGCAACGATGTCATGAGTGAATTTGCGGATCACCCAATCGGCGGAATTTCTGAGTGATTTTATCTAACCGATTTGCGACAGTCTCGTTCGCGGCATTTGAGATTTAAATCGCTTTTTATCTCGGATGGAGTATCGGAAATAATCGCTCTCTTGAGATTGTTGCGTTTGTCGGGAAATAACGTGTTGAATTTTTTATTACCATTTATATCCAATTGACTGTTATGAATATATTATATATGTAATGTATACTTCCTACTATCATATGCAACGTATACTTCCTACTATCTTTAAAATATATAAGACTATATATAGAGGACTAGCTTTTATAAATTATGACAAAATTTCAAAAATGACATTTCCTAATTATTAAAAAGACATTTCCTAATAATTAAAAAAATTTACATGATTCTTTAGTAATTAATAAAATTATATATATATATAAGTATTGTATGTATATATATATATATATATATATATATATATTCAGGGTATTAGTTAAGTATATTGCCATACTCAATAGAGCGATTCTTTGGTTTATTTCAAGTAAAAAAGTCCATATAAACGTGTGTCCTAAACGGCT